CTCCAAAACAGGATAAAATGTGCAAGGATTGAGTAAAGAAAATGCCTGTGAGAAAAAAAAATGGCATATTTCATGTAGGTTAGCTTAAAATATGTAGGAGAGCTGGAAGAACTATCAAATGACAGAACAAGCTTGGTGCTGAGTGATGAAAGCAGGAAGTGATTTGGGTGGAAGCAACCTAGACTGCTCTTGTGCTCCATGGAAAGCTTAGCAAGGCTGCAGGGGAGTCCTAAAGACAAAGTGGTCGTTGGAGGAGTCCTGAGTCTCCCAGAAATTGACCTGCCTGGTGTTTCTTTTGTGCTCAGTGCCTGGCTGGAAAATGTAGCCTCATGGCACAAATGGGATGATCAATTTCAGAATGCAGGACTTGGGGGTCTTGGTCAATTATACCCTTTATAGTAAGCCATTTCTAAGGTATGTCACCCTTTGTTTTTCATGTAACCCTCCTCTCCCCTGGTCCCTCCCAGCTTGGAAGAACAAGTTGATGGTTTCCATCCCCAACATTTTGCTGCGGTCTGAAGCTGCAAGCACACTAAAGCATGTATACATCTGCAAAATTAAAAGATAAAATGATTTGCAAAGCAATGATGCATCCATAAGTTGGTTTCATAAGAAAAGCATTGAGAGAAACATATACAATGGCACAAAACATATAAGCACATAAACAATAGTACACACAGGTGCATAGGATATAAAAGGAGCCAACCCTCTTCTTGCTCAAGCTTCAAAGATACAAATAAACAAGACATAGGAAGTCTATACTTTTCTGTCTGAGTTGGAGGAAAGAAAGAATGCATTTATCAGGATCCCAGTTTTGTGCCAGGCATTGTGGTAGGTGGTTTCATGTATGTTAACTTAAAATATGTAGTACTACACTTCTGTCCCTTACTGAATACTCGTAACAACCTTCTGGCAGGTGTTATTATTTCTGCTTTACAAATGACATATGGGAGGTCATCAATTAAAAGTTATGAATAAGAAAGTAAAATATTTGGCCCTGGCTGGTTTGGATCAGTGGATTGAATTCTGGCCTGTGAATCAAAGGGTTGCTGGTTCAATTCCTGCACATGCCTTGGTTGCAGGCCAGGTCCCCTGAGTAGGGGGGACAAACACACATTGATGTTTCTCTCCCTCTCTTTCTCCCTCCCTTCCCCTCTCTAAAAATAAATAAATAAAATCTTAAAAAAAAAAGAAAAGAAAATATTTGGGACTTCAATGTATTCACCGTGGTCTTTGGCGGGCTTCCATAGCCATTACATAATCTTTTTCATTCTTTTGGATTATTAAAAAACTTTGATAAATTAGTGTTTGAGTTTTGACTGAAATCCATAGATTAAAAAAAGGCTGCTTCATCACTGGGGAAAAAAAGTTAAGGAACTTGTCTAAGTTCGCGTATCTACTAAATGATGGAGCCAGAACACATTTCAAGTCTGCCAACAGGAAAATAAGGGGAGAAGAGCATTCTTGGCTGTTCTCTGTGTATACACTTTGTATTGCAAGAGATTTTTTTTCCCCCAAAGCATCTTCAGTCTTCTAACTTTTGCAGCTCAGGGTATTTTATACCATCTTTTTGGATCAACACTATCCACCCTACAGTGTGAGACCAATCTTCTCACCAAAGGGACACTTTAGGAGTCAAGGAGAGAATATCGATATCAAATCAGCATCCTTGCCTAACTCAGGTGTGATGCCAATGACTGTGATCCTTTTCTGTATTTCAGATTCAGTAAGTGGTCCCTGCCTTGATTACCTGTTAATTCCTCCAGTTTTGCTCTGACTGCACCACTATTTTGACCCCTTCCAGTCTTCTGGAGTGTTAGAGCTCTTTTCCTGAGAGACAGTCCCAGTGGCTGGGCCCTTTTTTAGACCTCTTGTCTTTGGGCCTCCCATTCTTTCTGCCCTTTACTTCTCAGGCCTCCATGCCTGGCTGATTCATCCTTGTGAGATTTTGTGGAATTCAGATCATCTATAATCTGCTACATTTCTCTGCTAATCAAAGCTTTGTTATGACACTTCATAGATTTTATCTCTATGCAACAATGACTCTCATTAACAAATAAACATTTCAACTTGTTCTACTATCATTATTTTTTGGCTTGTTAATATAGGGCTTCCTGGTACCCATCTTGTCCAAATGCAAGCCCATCTTTTGTTTAGGAATAATTATAGATGCAATTTACTAAACACTTTTCATACCCCAGTTAACCAATGTAACAGACAGATATTATTACCATCTGTATCCAGGAAAATTGAGATGGGGAGAATAGGAAACTGAGATATGGAGCGGATTTGGTGCTCTGAAAGCAGATACATGAGACAGATTAGGGATCAACACTCATGAAAGTAAGGGAGTAGAAGCGAGACAGGGCAGCGAAAAAAATCTAACTGTGATGTAGGCCTAACATAACTTTGGCTGACTCAACCAGGAGCTCTTGGTCAAGAATTACCCATCAGCAACCCATGTGAGGCTGAGATGGCCAGCTTTTTTTACACTTTCTTTGCTCCATGACTGGAGGCAGGCTCTCATGAGAAAGTATGACCTTGGACAAGGTGAGTCTCAATTGAGTAGACCCTGAAGAAGTTTACACTTGGAAGCTGTCTGCTGACTACATTCCCTACAGCTAAGAGCAAATCTGTCCTTGAAGAGGGATCTGAATGGTGCATTTCTCTCTTTACTGAGTCTCCAAGAATCTAGGAGATCTGTAAGATTCTATAGCTAATAAGTGACAAAGATTTGATACCAAGTCTTCTATGACTCAAAAGTCTATGCACCTCATCAATTCATAATTAGTTTCCAAATATCCATTCCAATCAACTAAATCAGAATCACGTTAGGAGATTTCTTTAAAATAGGGATATTTGGCCTCAATCCTGTAAAACTCACATTCAACAGATGTGGATGAGATAACAGGAATCACAGTCAGTTAATAAAAGTTTCCAGGCTTATTCTAAAATACAGTGGTATACAGAAACCATTGACACAAAACAATGGAGAAAGATTTTAAATGCTGGATTCCATTTATGGTAAAAGCTACACAATGTTTGGGGAATGTTAAAGATTCAGAACCAAGATTTGTCCCTGCAGACTAATGTCTAATGTCAGTGGCAACACCTCTCCAGGACTCAGCTTCTTGTTTTGTGATTGCTGTTTCTCTGATCGCCCTGAGGTAAAAATATTGGAAAAGTACAGCTGTTACTACTTGTGAAAGCAAATGAATCTGTAAGTGAACTGAAGAATTTGCCCTCCAGTTAGCTCCTAAAATGTCTGCAAAATGAATTTGAAGATGCCAAATTATATTTTGCCTTTTGTCTTTCTCCACAAAATTGGAGATAAGTTCATATTTTAAATTTTTTATAATATACAATGCAGTCACTTTTAACAATGTAGTAAATTCTTTAATTTTTCACTTTTAAATAAATGTATAATTTTCCAATCAAACAGTATGTGATTACAATGAGACAAGAGTCAAGACAGAAGCTTTATTACTAGACAAGGTATAAACATAGAGCAAAATCGACTTGTTCCTGAGCTTCTGAGACAGACTTCTTTCAATTCTTTTTTACTAAAATGAAGACAAGAAGTCAGATCCTGAGGGAGAGTCTGTCTACAGTGGGCTTTCAGGCCCCCAGCTACAGAAGGATAAAGGAAGAAGTCATGCTGACAAAAGTAACAAAATAGATCTATTTTTTAAAAAATGCATCTTTTGTTACATGAAATTTCCTTCCAAATTTTACCTAATTAGCATAGGCTTTTTTTTATATGAGAAAATCTTTAAAATAGTGAATCATAAATGTTTTGTGCTCAGATAAACAAAATTTATACAAAACTTCTCTCTGGTTTGTGACAATATCTGAGGTTTTTGGCTTATGGGTTTGTGGCTTTTGACCTCTGAGACCATTTAAAAGGGACCATGAGATTTGCCTCAGCTACCATAGGCCATAGACATGCAATGTCTATTTGAACCAGTATACGACAACTGTTTTTTAACCTTATGCACTTAAAACCATTGAAGTTTGGCCTTGGAAGAAAATCACCATCCTCCAAGAAAAAGACTGCAAAAAACCAACTTCTGTCAATGACCACAGATGTCACAAATCCAGATTTCTCGCTTGGAATCTCAAGTGGGTGGATTTAATTAGCTGCTATGATTAGAGGCTAATTACTAGAAGTGGCCTTGGAGAAAACAGTCCTACATCGCCCCTATGCTATCTGATCTTGAACTTTTCCATTTCTTCCTTTATTGTTTCTGTTCTATCCAGGCATAACCACATGAAGAATGTTGAAAATGGAAGTTTCCTTTAATTGATATTCAAGATGTCATTTAGCTCGGAACTTTATTATTTAGAGAGAACATGTAGCTAATACTAACAACGATCATGTTCCATTGATATTTATCTACAGATTAAAGACAGTTGCCCTTCCCTCACCTCTTGAGGAAGTGTTTCCTGCCACTCATTTTCTCCATAACCTCAAGTAAATCTTCGCTGGTTTAATGACAATAAGCATTCTGATTTTACCATGACATGATGCTTGGGAAGAAAAATCTAAAATCTTTTACATAAAAGAAGTTTCATAATCACAGATATGAAAAGAGGGGAAATGTATACTTAACCATAGGTACTTTTACCATGAATTTCCTGACCTTGATTTGATTAAATTCTCAGCCTAAAGATTGCAACAATATAGATTTCTTTACAGTTTAATTGTTCATTTCATTGAACTTTGAATGAGAAAAACCTCAATGTGGGGCACAAAGGGTGGTAAACGGAAGGAGAAGTTAAGGACTGAGCTACTCTGCAGATCAGAGCATTTGAAAGTGAGCACCCAACGTGACAAGAAGCAAAAACCACAGGATACTGCGTACTCTTGCAGTTCACTTTTTTCTCAAACTACTCAGAATCTTCCTATTGTGTGCTCCTACATCCTCTCTCTTTATTTCACAGATGTCACTGGGGTAGTTAACCTGATCGAGCCCTGAAGAGTTCAGGGGAGGAAGGGAAGCCTTCTGCCTGAGAAGTTTACCCATCTTGACATGCACAAGAAATGAAAACATTAGCTGCCATGCTTGGAATTGGGAAGTCGTTTTGGGTCCTCTTCTTAATCCCACATCTGGGCATCTGGAATATTGACGGTAAAGCAACTACTTAGATTAGGTTTTGTTTTATTTCTCAGGAGGTGCTGGAGGTTATGTTTTTCCTTTCTGATCTTGTAGCGTGTGGTGATTATATGGACAATGATAGATAAAACAAAGTGGTTAGATTTGCTCACTGAAGACATTGTAGGACACAAACCAAATTAGAACATGGTATTCATCACTTCGGCTGATTTTCTTAAAACAGGTTCTGATGGTAAGAAAAAGGAACTGGGAAAATGTTATAAGTAGTTAGGTATAAATGTATCACTACAACTTGCCAAACTGCTCTTGATGTCATACTGATGGCAAATAGCTTGTCCTTTGCCAACTGAAGCTTGGTGGAGTGAATGTCATTTTGTTCGCTTGGGTGGGTTAGGTATTGAATACCTGACTCCGTGGTTACTCTTGAATAATGTCGCTAATTAAAATCACACTGCTTGCTTCAGTGGGGTGTGTGCCTGTAGAATACTGATTGAGAAAATGCCAGGAAATACAGGATTGGAATACTTTGTCATTGTATCTCAGAAAATGGTTCAGACTTGAGTGTCATTTCACATAGAAACCAGCTTGGGTTCTGCGTAGATGATGTTTGGCCACTGCTGCAAAGATTTTATGTAAGCAAACAACCAATTTCTTCCTTCTGGTGAGTTCACTTGTTCCCTTACATTGACACAGGAGCCTGCATATTGTGAAGGGGGAAGGACTATAAATAGCAAGTAGAAGTTTTGGGTTTTCTCAGGTCTGTTTTCAAAAATCTTATTTCATAATCCCACAAACACACATACTCTTACCAGTTTGTGTGCTGTGGTTTTAAGTTGGAAAATGTGGCCCCTGAAACCCTACAGAATGTCATCTTCAATTCTGGAACTGGGCGCTTTGGTATTTGTCGCTACAATGCCAGGATGGCATGTAATCAGGGGCAAAATACATCTTCCCTTCAGTCATCTAAGTTTTTTCATGTTTGTATGTTTTTATCTGAGTATGTTTTCTATTACGTTGACAAGGGATTTGGATGGATGACTGGATTTTTCACTTTACGATCACATAGCTAAAACTGGAGTCAAATTTTAGTAAATAGAATTTATACCAACTTGAAGAATAAATAAACTATTCTCTGTAAAATGAAATAAAATAATTCTTTAGTGCTCTATCACACTGAGATTGGGGTACAACTTCTATCCCCCCTCCCAATGTGCTTAAAAAAGGAACTTCAGTGTTAGAATCAGATTAATTTACTGGTTCTGCCACTTACTCGGTGACGTTGGTTAAGTTTCTTATCCTCGTTTACCTTAGTTTCCTTCTTTGTAAACTGGAGATAATAAGCATACCTAAATTATGGGCTTGTTGTGGCCACTGTCAATGTAGTAATATGGATAAAGTACCTGGCACAATAAATATACACAATAAAAGCTCAATAAGTGTTCATGGCATTTCTTGCTAAGATCCTTTTCACCAAATGACCTGCCCCCTCAATTCAATTAAATGGGAAGTAAGTTTTAACACTATTATTTAAAATAGTTGAGTTTTTAAAGCTAAAATGAATAAATGAAATATATTATACAATATTTAGCCCAAAACATAGTGAATAAAATTATTTGGAAAATGAAACGGAGAGCCTTGGACAAAGTCCTCGCCAGGTATCTTATATGGCAGATGATGAATCACAACATTACTCACATTGAATTTAGGATACAGGTTGCGATAAGGAATGTTTGTTGAGATTTGTTCTCCCAGACAGAGCTGATGACTATTCCTTAAAAATCACATTGATTTTAACCTTTATATCTTGGAGACTTCCTGCAAGTTAGTTAATATTTGATTATTAAATTCTTTACACAGGCAGAGTTTCAAAGTTCTTAAAAATAATCTTAAAAGTTTTTTTTTCCCCCTCCACTTCAAAGCAAGGTGAGGTCTGCATACCTCTTCCTGGGAATCAGGCTGCACTGAGAACAAGGTTGGAAACAGCATAATGTTCTCTACAAACTAGCCTCTTTATAATGAAATTACGCTTACTTGCTTTTTATATTTTTCAATAAAAAAATCAGGGGGGCACTCTAACCCCTCAGTACCTGGCGTAGAATTTCCGTCCCGATGAAAGTATGTAAATGTCAAAGTGTCAGCGCTTTCCCTTACTGGACAGGTGGGCAGATTATGCTGGCAAGAACGAGGCAGCAGTTGGAGAAGTCCCTGCCACTCACCTGCCTCATCGTCCACGAGCAGCTCCAGCTGTGAAGCTCTGGGCCACTTAATTAGTTGAAGGTCAACCTAAGATTCCACCTTCAAGCAGGAAGGAGCACTGCAGTTAATGACTCACTACCATTTGGCACTATATAAGATCCTGAATTAAGGCTGTAGAAAATCCTTGATGGATCACTGCTTATTGTGAGGACAAAAAAAAAATCCAATTCTGGTCTAGTGCCAGTGGACACTCATAGTTTGACTCCTTTGAGAACACAGTGGTTATGACCAAGTCTCCATTTGAGCCTTGCTGGTGTCCTTTCTAGCCTCTATTGTGATAACTCAGTACAGACCATGCATCTGTATTCCACATCTCACACAGATTGCGTTGCTTTGCCACTGCCAGGTCAGTGCACAAACATTAGGGCAGAAGGTGCTCTGCATCTGTCTCTCATTCTTTGACGTTTCAGGCTTATTTCTATAGCTGTAACTATTTGTTCCTATTGAAATGGGCACAGGAGATGGAGCTGTGCCTTCTGCCAAATGCCTGGGTATTGTTATTATAAGAATGCCTGCCGCAAAATATGACTACCTTTGACGTGAATGTCTAGGAATACATTCTGCAGCTACAGGATTTCCTGGATTGTGGTATGAAAAGGTTAACCTCTGTGCCGATAACAGCCTTGAAGAGACTTTACGAACACTGAAAAGCTTTTTAATTACCTGTTGCTTCCTCTGCCCCACTATCAAAATTTCCTCTATTGTAATTTTGAAGTCAAATGTTATTGCACTTCGCTGGGACTGTCCTAATTGATACCTAGTATTTTTGAGTTTCACCTTTGCTTAGAGTTTAGAACTGTTGAAAGAAACATTCACAGACATTTGTAATCAGGTCCAAAAATGAAATCAACCTTTTGCTTTGTTCTTCGGAGAGGCAGTAGTGGGGCTGTAGAGCTAGATTGCCTGGGTTACCATCCCATGTCTTCCATTTACTGATTCTGTGACTATAACCTCTCTGGTACTCTTTCCTCACGTAAACTATGGCAACAATAATGAAATGGACCTTATAGGGTTGTTGTGAGTGTTAAATGAATTAATTCTGTGAAACGCTTAGAACAGTGCCTGATGAATCATAAGTACTGTGCGAGTTTAGTTAATAATGTTGTTTTTCTTTTAGTGCAAAATTGAATTATCTTAAGAGCTCACTAAAGTAGTACTAGAAAACCATCTCTTATTTAGGTTAACAAAAGACATCTATAAATACCTCTTGACATCATTAGCTACTATCATCTCCAGTCACCAAGAAATGATAATAGAGTTAGGGAGTCATGAAACTTGAGTTACATTGTGTCATTGAATTGTATCATAGCAATTTGCTTCACATTTCTAACATTCTCCATTCTCTTACCTCACAATAAGCTCGGTATTATTCACCTTTCTGGTATCCTCACATAGACTCTGATTTCTTGTGCTCATCCTGTAGAAGAAATTACTTATGTGCATGTGTCTGTGTGTATACAAGCAAGGGTATCATTTTAGTATGCTCAGAAACATGTACATTTTGAGGTTCACTTCGAACACAGTCCAGGAGGGTGTTGGAGGGGCCATCCATGCCAGTCACAGGGAAACATCAGGTTTAGCTGGTAGAGCTCCCTAACTCCTCTCCTCCTTCCTGACAGCCACATTTATCTTATGAGCACAACCCGGAACTTGAATACATTGCAAACAGGCCATTGTCCAGAAGTGGTTGTAAGAAAAGGTGGGTCATTTAGGTTATAGATGGGTGGCCATGGTCCCATTTCATTTTCTTCTATGGTATTAGAAGAGGAGAATTAACATTGGAGAGGGGGGCATTGGCAGTTTCTGCGCCTGTAGATATTGTTAATTATCTTCTAGGGCTTTGAAAATACCAGTGACTCTCAGTGTGATCTTTGTAGCAGAATGTAAATACTACGAAGCCCAGAAAGTATCTGGGGAAGAAGTGAAAATAAACTTTCCCTGTGTCTTTCCACACATAATCACACTTACTCTGAGCATCACATGCGACCTTTCTATAATAAGACAATATTTAGAAATATGTTGGTTTCTGAAATCTCTCTTGAATGCTGCTGTCTTCAACTCTATGACATACTCTTAGCTTTTTCTGCTCTTCTTTTCTTCCCTAAGTCACCGTGACCAAGGTGGGGGCCTATCATTTCTGAAAGACAGGCCCACCTGTTTCAAGTAGTCAGTGTCTTCCCCAGCCAGAACTATTCTTTAAAATGTCAACATGAATCATTGTTTTTTAGAGCTCATTAAACTGGCTAAAAAATTTTGCTATGCTGGAGAGATAATTACACATCAGCCAACAAACTCTCTGCTAGCTGGATACTCATCCTTGCCACATAGGGCGTGCAGGACTCTGAATCCTCTGTCATGGGGAGGCAAAGACAGTGACCAATAGGGTAGAATCACAAGGGGACATTTGTCACTTGGTAGAGGTGTATGTGGAAAAGTACCCAAAGACAATTTTTTTTTAATCTCCACCCAAGGACATGTTTTAATTGATTTGAAAGAGAGAAAGAGAGAAACATTGATTGGTTGCCTCCCACATGCACCTCAACTAGGGATCAAACCCACCACCTAGGCATGTGCCCTGACCAGGAATTGAACCGGCAACCTTTTGGTGCATGGAACGACACTCCAACCAACTTAGCTGCACAGCCAAGGCAACAAAGATTCTTTTACTCAGCCAAGGCTGGCCTTGCTGGTTAGTATATTTCTGTAGGATTTCATGTCTCAGATAAAAAGACATTTTCGTCTGGGATAGACTGGCTTTT